GGCTGTAACCAACCGATGTGAAAGAAGTTCCTTATGCCCCAATAGCTGACATTGATTTTCGGTCAGCAAAGAAACTTAAACGAAATTTGGATGAAACCATCAACAATTTGACGACTACCGATCTTTCGCAGCTTCTCCTGAAACGAAGTGCCGGCTGCAGACTCTATCGCGTTCTAAAATATCATCAGTTAAGTCATTTCTACTTGTTGCAGAGATCCACATTCTTCTTCGCTCAGAAGTAAGTTCTTCGGTGCACTCCGGCTCCTTGTTTGACTATAGCACATGGGACACGACAAAACCTTACTTTTTCGACGTTAGACCGCTTCTTCCCTGTTTTGTTCGCACAACTAATGACAAGGCAAAGAACTATGATAAAGAAAGTATAAATATTACACTAACGTCTTCTCAAAACTGTAAAATGTGCTCCAAATGTTTCCTGTCACGATACTCACTGCTGGTTATCATGGAACACCAAGATAGCGGATTAAGTCGGTTACCATCACGATAAAGAAATTTGGTCACATGAGTGAAAATGCTATTTTTTTTTCTTTTTTTTTTATTCCATTAAATGAAAGCGAAATTTCGGAACAAGCGAGCCGGCAAGTAGCAACAGCGGAAGAGCCAAAAAAAGGTTGTAAACATGCCAGGCGCCGTAATTTGCATTCTCATAACGTGAGTAGAGACAAAAATCCTCAAAGAGAAAACGAAGTGGATAGTCCGAGTTTTGAAGGTTTTCACGCTCAGTTCGATCGTAAGCTGATGTACGGTAATAAAAATAAAACACAGCTAACACCCATGTAATATGCATGGTTTCGTGTTAGTAAAACAAAACAAAACAAAACTGGAATGATGAAAAGTATAAACAAACTGGCAGAAATGTTAAAATTCATGCAAATCCTAATGTTGGTGTCAGAGCGACTGCAATCAGGCTGAGGTTCATCGCGCCTAGCTCCTCACGCCAGTCTCTGATCATCGCAGTGTAGCAAGCCTCAGAAACTACGTCACCCGCCCTTCGCGTGAAATGAACTAAGAGCTTGCTCTGATATCGTTTTTGCTGCTACATGTACGAGTGGAAGGCTACATCAGTCTCAGTAGCTGAGTTTTATGGCGCTGTCACTCCGACCAATCTTCATGTTCCTGTGAATTCGGCTGCCGTTCACCCATAAACTTGCCAAACTATTTCAGGTTGTGAACTATTGCAGAATGAGAACTTTGATGGTTTCACATTTTGACAGCTTATGAGCGAATTTTTGAGTTGACCGGGTGAAAATCGAAAAATGTTGCATACAGTCGAAAATCCAAAACCTTGATATTTTTCGAATAAAGGCTGATAGTTTCGAAACAAACTGTTTGGGGCTTGATATTTTTCGCAGAGATACCTTAAAGTGAACTTAGAAATTTAGACTGGCTTTCTTCTAGATTATTCACGAAAACTGAAAAGGGCGTCGGTAGCCGTAAAATGAAATCAGTGCCTCGGATATAACCAAATGAGCTTTGTTCATAATAAACGCAAATTAAAGAAAGCAAGCTCGTACCAGTTTGATCTTTTTGTACAGGAAGGATTGAGGTGTGACTCAAGTCTTAAACGAGACCATTTCATTTAATTTGGAGCTCATGGAACGCTTTCTAAAATCACCAGTATTTCAATATTTCACCAATATATTCCAGCAGACTTTCAAAAATCGTTTTCCCTACGCGGTATAACTTAGAATCAATCCATGTTCGGCTCATAATAAGTGGAAATTGTTTTGTTGTAGGAGATGTAAAATTAGTTTACTGCTTTTCATTTCCGTACGGAAAAACCAGCCTGAACTTTGTGAAAATCGTAACACCGTTATTTACGTTACCACATAATCTCATTGGGTACCCCGTGGTTAAATCCAGAATTCTAAGCATATTTTAGCGGTTAGCACCGTGTTTGATTAGGTAATTAAAAAATTAGGCTAACCACGCATAGCTAACGACGGCAGATTGGTTTTTATCCGTGTGACTACCGTTTCATTTCCGTTTTAATTTTATTTCCGGTTTTACGTTACGTTCGTGTCACGTGACAATCTCGGGTGGGATTGCACATGCTTTGAGAATTTTTGGGGGAG